AACCCCTTTTGTCAAATATTTTTAGATGTTCAATTGACCTTCATCAAATCCCAACAATTGATATTAGAGCTTAACTCATTAGAAGGTCTAACAACCTTTAGATGATCTTTGAAGAAGCTCTATCCATTTCTTACACAACCAAGAAGATGGCTTCCACCTCCGGCTCGTTCCACAAGGAAGAATCCCAACCGATCGACAAGCCTCCATACTTCAATGGAGTCAACTACAGTCATTGGAAGAAATTAATGAAGCTATTCATTCAATCCAATGATCTTGATGCATGGGAGATGATCGAGAACGGCTACTCTTCTCCAAAGAAGAAGGCAAATGAGTGGAGTGCCCAATAATGGAAGAAAACTCAACTAAATGCTAAGGCCATGCACATGTTGTTTTGTGCATTTGGTCCTGATATCTATAAAGGAGTTTCTTCTTGTTCAAATGTCAAAGAGCTTTGGAATAAGCTCGAGGAACTTCATGGTAACAAGAAAGAAGAACTGACAAAGGAGGTGTGCTTAATAGCTCTTGAAAAGCCCAATGTATCGTTTAACTCAAATGAATTAAATTCATATTCTTTTGATGAGTTACGAGATGCTTATGATGAGTTGTATTTGGAATTTGAGACCATGAATTCCAAATATAAGAAATTAATTTCAAAATTTAAAGTTGAAAATGATTTGATTTTGAAAGAAAAGGTTGATTTTGAAAAACAAAATGAAACTTTGAAAAATGATTTAGAGCTTTCAAAAATCAAAATCAATGATTTAGAAAAAGAAAATTTTGATTTGAAAGTTAAGCTTGAAAGCTTAATAAAAGAAAAATAATTAATTTCTAGAAACAACTCATTATGTTTAAAAATGGCAAAATGCTCACATTGTCATTTTAATGGTCATTTGGAGCATACTTGTCCTTTAAAGAAAGGAAATCATTTTAAAATTAAATAAGTATGAGTTCCAAAAGGAACAAGGGGCATTGAAACTAACGTTCAAGTATCCAAAGTAATTTGGATACCAAAATCCACATAAATGTCTCTTGTAGGTGTGTGAGAGCAATGGTGATGAAAGCAAAGATACTCAAATGCTCTAGCCACACTTGATATGAAATGGGTAACCTCTAAACTTATTTTGATTCTTCAGCATTAGTGGTTGCTCATTTGTTTTAAGAATGCATGAGTTTTGATCTTAAATGATTATGCATTGTTTTTCATCTCATGTATGTTGAAAAGTGTATTATGATGAACATTTTTTAAAGTTTTAATGATTTTTCATAAATGTTTGTTCATCATAATGAATTTTGGTCAAAATTGGTTTTAATGCTTTTTTTTTACAACTTTTAATTTTGGGCCTTAATTTAAATGTTTATGCATGTGATTTATTGCAAATGATATCTCTCTAACAATTGATATCAATTTTTCAAATGCATAACATTTTTGGATAGCTTTATGCACATGCACTTAAATACTATAATTGGTATTGCATAAAATATTTACTTATTTAGAGGATAAGAAGCACACTTTGCACAAGGTTACACTGTATAAGAAGGGTAAGGATAGTTTGGCTGCTCAAGGGAGACGCGTCGTTATGACCGCAAACAATCAGGTTACGGTGGTCAGACCAAACCAGTGTTCCACAAGAAGGTAAATTTCTGTTACACTTATCCTTTATCACTTGAATTGATGTTAGATACATATCCAAAAATCAATAATCTTAGGCTGCATGTTCTGCCACTAGGTTGTAAGCAATATTTTAGTTATCCGTTTTTGTCAAATGCCAAGCCTTTGAATGTATGTTAGACAAACATTGAAAAGATCTATAATCTTATGCTACATCCAGTTTTTCGATTCTGATTGTAAAAGCCTTTACATAAATAAATGACTGTGTATCATTGAACAGGCGAAGACCACCAAGAAGATTGTGCTAAGGCTTCAATGCCAGGGTTGCAAGCATGTCTCGCAGCATCCAATCAAGGTTGGTGCATTGAAAACCCCTTAGCTGCTTTATTTTCGGTCGTTTTCTGATATCGTGGTTTTTGCAGAGGTGCAAGCACTTCGAGATTGGTGGAGACAAGAAGGGGAAAGGAACATCTCTTTTCTAAGTATGATGTTATTCACGTCAAATGTCATGTTATGTGTTTTACTTGGAATTTTGTTTTGTTTTCTTTTAGTTATCTAATGTTGTTTTCCGGAGGATATTGTGTTGTTAGCGGTTGTCTCATTGTTTCTAATGTTGAAATTGTTTGATTCAACTATAAAAATATTGAGATAATTAACTAAATCAATTATTGAAATTATTATTTAAATAGTAAAATGAATTTTTGTTTTTGTTATAGAACTAAGCTATACAGAAATTTCATGGATATTTTAATTTATTTCAAATAATAAAGATTTGGTATCCATTGGGATGGTTATGTAATTTGTGGATAAATTGGCTAAGCTATAGTAATTAGTAAGTTCTTGAATATAAATAGAGCAATTGTTTACATTAAAAATATGAAAATTAGTTTATTAACTTTATATTTTTATTTCATACTATACAAACTAACTTTAAAAGATCATTTTAAAAGTAGATATTTGAAATATGATATTTTTGTTAATGTTTTGCGTCTTTGATTGGTGGGTGGTGATATCAATTTTGATATTAGTTGTGGATCGTTCTTGTTTTTTTCCTTATATTTTTATATTATATCTCTGTTTCTTTTTTAATTTTTAGTTTTCAATAATCTTATCTTTATGATATGTTTTTCTTTATCTTTTGACATATTTTTGTTTCTGTACTGATTGCTTGAATATTATTTTTGTTTATTTTTTAGGGTTGAGTTTGGCATTGCATAGATTGATCAAGATGAAGTGTTTTTGTTTTTCCGATGATCTTCTTTGTTTTGGACCCTTATATTAGACTTTGATATGCAATTTGTGTTCATGGATGATTTTCTTACATCATTTAACTCTAACTTATGATTTATTGATGCTCTTTCAATAGTTTGATGATCTTTAATTATTTTTTTAGCTATGTAATAAAAGTTTACAATTACAATTATAAAATTTTAGGATAAATCACACATTTATTATCTAAACTATCAATTTTGGCTCGTTTTAATACCTAAACTTTCAATTCTTTCAAAACATACTTAACGTTAGTTTTTGTTTTATATTAGTACCCGACATTAAAAACTTAACATGTCTAGTACCTAAACTATTAATTTTGGTATGTTTTAGTACCTAAACTACCACTTTTAGTCTGTTTTAGTAGCTAAACTTTTAATTTCTTTCAAAACTTAATGTTAAATTTTAAAAAATGTACTAACATGAAACAAAAACTAAACTTAATGGAGTGCTTACATGGCTTATTTTAATAATAAAATATTTCACATTTTTACTCATTGAACTTTACTCTCTATCCTATTTCACTCACTGTATTTTTAATTTTTTTCAATTTTAATTTAACACTGTTAGAAATTTAACGGTCGAGTAACAAAAAATGTTTAATGTCTAAAGTTCAGTTAGAAAATAAAAAATTTGAAATAACGATGAGTGAAATATGGGAGAGAGTAAAGGTAAGTGTATAAGCGTGTAATTTACCCTTTAATAAAAACTAGTTCCTTCTATGTAAAAAAAATGAACAAAAGGGAGACCCTTGAATTTTAGTCCATAAGAACGATCCTATCCGAGTCCGACTCACAAAAGTTGAGAGAAGAAGTTGCCTCTGATCCTAACCTCCTCTGTCCCATCCCCAAATTACAAAACCTTCCACGCAACCATGAAGACCTTTTTTTCTAGCGCCAAACGCCTCATATCTTCCTCCCTATCTCCTTCCATCCACCGGAACTACAGCCTAGTACCAGTGGTGATCGAGCACTCCTCCCGTGGCGAGAGAGCTTACGACATATTCTCTCGTCTCCTCAAGGAAAGGATTGTCTGCATAAATGGATCCATCAACGATGACACCGCCCACGTCGTCGAAGCCCAGCTCCTCTTCCTTGAATCTGAAACCCCTCCAAACCCATCCACATGTACCTCAACTCTCCTGGCGGCCATGACACCGCAGGTACTTAAAACTTTGCTGATTCCCAATTCTCTGATTTCTCTCGATTATCGTATCGTCGTTATTTTGATCTAATTATGGGTTTAGTCCCTGAAATTTGAGATTGATTTTTAATTTCCGAAATGCAGGCCTTGCGATTTATGATACGGTGCAGTACATAAAGTCTCCGATCAACACAATCTGTTTGGGGCAAGCTGCATCCATGGCTTCTCTCCTTTTAGCAGCGGGTGCCAAGGGTGAAAGGGGGTCCCTCCCCAATGCTACCATCATGATCCATCAGCCTTCCGGTGGGTACAGCGGCCAGGCTAAAGATCTATCCATCCACACCAAGCAGATCGTTCGTGTTTGGGATGCATTGAACGCTTTGTATTCCAAGCAGATGGGACAATCTGTCGATGTGATTCAGAAGAATATGGATAGGGATTGTTTTATGACACCAGAAGAAGCAAAACAGTTTGGGTTAATTGATGAAGTTATTGATCGAAGGCCAATGGCTCTGATCACCGATGCTGTAGCTAAACAGACCAAAGATGGCCAAGATGACAGAGACAGTGAAGATACAGGTCCGAATTAGGGGATTAGAATCGGTAAACTCTTTTAGGACTAATTGTTTATGTTCTCTAATTTCATTGTTTAATTTTATGATAGTTAATTTTATCTTTACTTGATCAGATTCTTCTAGTTTATTAGTCTACAAGTAATATAATAATTTTATATCTGACGTTAAAAGTTATTATAATATCTCTCAAAATATTTACACGAGTAAATATAAAAATAATTAATTTTTTATTTAATTTCAGTTTATGAAGTGTTCTTCCCCCCCCCCCCCCACCCCAAAAAAAAAAGCCTTTCCAGTTTTCTTTCGTTCTATTTATGTACTCCTCAAAGAGCTACCAAGCAGCAGGTTGGGGTGGCTCACAAGTCGTGATGAATTGACATGGGAATATGATGGGGGCATTTGATGCTACGCTAGTGAAGCTAATCGAGCGCAGCTTTGGTTTTACGAGCTGACATGTTCGTAAATCCATCAAAAATGGGTCTCGTAATGCCTGCAGTTGACAGTCCCTGTAAATCCATCAATAGTAGTGATGTTAAACTACTGCTGCCAATACTGCTGCTGTTGTCCTGATCATCATGCAAACACGATGAGCTTGACGACTTCCTCACTTCAAACCCGTCAATCACGTATTCATCTTCTCCGATTGTTGTTGCAGGATTGAACCTCGTCATCTCACCATCTGCCACTGTCCCTGAATTCATGCGGCTTCCATTTTTTGATTTTGTTGTCGATCGTTTCGATAACGAAAACCCTCCACCATTGTTGCTGTTTTCCTCCTTCAACAGGCCGGCAGTAAAGTCGGCCTCGGATTTTTGCCGTCTTCTAATCAGTTTATCGTTGGCTCTTTCGGATTCACTGTCTTTGTCTTCTCCTGCAGCCATGATATCCACCAAGATTTCACCGTTTTCGCTGTAAAATCCGTTTGCTACACTTCTCTTCCTTTCAAGCCTCAAATGTGGGTGGGAGTGTTTAAGGAGCAGACCATCATCCACATAATCGGCTTCTCCTTTCCTGTATAATGCCATTTCAAGAACTTCGGACATCGTCCTTTTTTCTGTTGCTTTAAGGCCATAGTAACCTTGTAACGATCTCATTGCCGGGGAGACCTTTGGAGGACTCCTCAACTTCAAAGACTGGAATGCGTCGAGCCAATCAGGTGGCAAATGTCTTGGGGTTTGGTTGCCACTGCTTTGTCTGCAAAGAGTTGTAGAACATGAGCTCAATTGAAACAACCGATCAAAATTAGGAAACACAAATACCAGATGAAAAAAAAGGACCCTCAAAATACTCACTGAAACACTGAATATCAATTTCTTCAAAACTAATTTCTTAGATAATATTTCTTTTATTTAACCATCAATATCTAATCTATTAACCAACTAATCTTATATCAGTTATTGCAAAAGCATGAAGCCATGTCCCCGGAAAATAATTTTCACATCTAGCAACTAATGAAGAGTCCAACAATTGAAGGCTTTGCTCCTAAACAACCCCACTGAAACATTGATTATCAATTTCTTAGTATACCTTGGGGCATTGATTATCAATTTGTACCAGTGTCCCAGAAAGTAATTTTAACATCTAGCAAGTAGACAGTCCAACGATGCATTGTTCCGATGAAAATTATTAATCCGATGCAGAGGCTAGGCAACCGGTTTCCTACTTTACAGTTCAACCATTGGATTAATAATTTTCATCCTTACCTTTCTGTCTTATCTATGAAGCAAAGATGCAGAAGTGCAGTTCTATTAAAGAGAGGCTTTTGGGCATGGATGGACCGAGTGAGGCTGGTGGGGTGATTGCTTCATTGAAATTTCAAACCATCATATTATTTAAGTGTTTTCTTTATATTTTCTATTAATTATATATATTTCATTTAGAAAATTTAATAAATTACCATAAAATCCTAAGTTCGCCCTTACTTCTAGATATCTCATACAACTATACAAATCCTAAAGGAAACTAAAAGATGCCGCTAAGGGAACAACACAGGAAAAGCATTTTAGGCTAACCATGGTTCCTCATTGAATTCCCATATTTCAATTTCGAATACGCAACACCATCCGACGTTCTGAAAAACAATTACTATGGATGTAAACAGTCAGAGAGTAATTTTACAAGCATTTAAAACGTAAAGTTCAGGAGCTGGAAGAAGAAACAAAACAATTAATACTAAAAAAAAAAGGTATAATACCCTGATGCGGTGGAATCATTAGACAAACTAGATGACGGTGGATGCCGGCCGGGTAAAGGGATCTGGAGTGTCTTAAGAGCAAACATTTGAAGATCTGTAGCCAGACCATTCATCCTTTTAATGTCAGATACCTGATAATATATCAACAACAACAATTTTTTATTTACCTCCACAGATCATTGACGACAATGATAAATATAATATAATATAATATAATTAGATTCATGTTCTTGGTTAAGATTCATCAATTTCCTTAGATTTTGAAATAGAAAATGAAAATATATGTAGCTACCTCGACGCCGTACTTGATGGCGACGCCGGCGAGAGTATCGAAACGGGAAACGGTATGTTCAATGCATCCAGCAGAAGGTAACGTGGGAGAAGAAACCTTATCTCCGTCCGATAACCTATAATCATTGCAAAACCGACTATAATACCCGTTCGAATCGTAACTGTAGTGTCCATTTGCGATGGCGCTATTCCACCTCTCCCTCTCCATCTGAATATCCCCCCGTTTCTTTGAAAAACAAAAGACAAAAAAAAAAAAATCGTTTACCCTAATCTTATCAGTCTCCTGTATTTGACCTCCAATTTCTGTCTTAATGGTTGAATCGAAATTCTTAAAAGATACGGAGCATTGAAACGAAGAAACCAAACCGAATCGAAATTATTGATAAAATGAAATTTACAGTTTTAAAGTAAAATAAAAGATTTAAAAAGCGAAAAATGTAAAGGGGGGAATCGTGAATAAGTTAACAGTTAAAGGGAAGGAGCCATTGTTCCCGTATTTACGGGAAAACGAATGATGGAAGCTCTACTCTGTTTTCGTGCAGAACAGAACAGAACAGAAAAACAACGAAACAGTAAATAAATAAAATTAAGAATTTATAGAGAGGTTGCCTTCCATTTCTGGTCAACTGATTTTTATTATTACTTTATTTCAACAAAAATATATATAATAAACTAATAATATATATAAAAAAAATAAAATAAATGGAAATTTTGACCGAAATAAAAAATAATACTAAAAAGATGAAACGTGTATTTGCCTGTTTGGTGCGTTAGTTTTTGTTTGAGAAACGTGTTTGAGAAACGAGAAAAAAGCGGCCTATGCATATCGATTGGCTCACTCGCTATGTATCCTTATTTCTGGACTAAACTATGCAAATGGTCATTGGCGTTTGAGTAAATTTTCCTTTTCACCGTTAATGTTTCAAAAGTCACAAATTGATCACTAATATTATCGTTTGTTATAAATTGGTCACTCGATGTTAACAGCCGTTAAATGGCGTAACGAAAATCACAATTGGACCGTTATATGCTTATCTGGATCGTTGACCGTCATAGTGGAGAACTTTTGAAATCTCATTTGACTATATGAAACCATTTTGATAGGCACTTCTTCTTCTTCAACCCAACCCTTTCTTCTTCTTTAACCCAACCAAATCGGTGACAATATTCTAAGCCACACTGTCTGCTTGGAAACCAAACTATATTGAGTCCCGATATCAAACACATATTGCCAAAACCGAAGATTTTGGCTAGTAAGAATTTGTTGGTCGTGAAGAAAACATGTCTACATCTGGTTCATTTCTGTTTGGTGCTGATTTAGCGTTTCATCAATCCTCTTCCTTCATTTTGATTTATTTATATTCAACCTCTCATCCCTTTCACTCTCTTGTATAGAATCTTCTTATTTTCTTCTTCTTTCTTTCTCTTCACTTTTCTTCTCCATACCTTCCCACTCATTGATTCTCTGCCTTCTCAGCTTCTCCCTAGCTTTTTCTCTTTTTTCCCTCCCATTTTCTCTTTTTTCCCATTCTTTCTCAAGTTCCAGTCAAATACTCTCATTTCTTTTCCTCTCACGCTCTCTTTGCCTCACGTTGCTCACATCGAGCCTCCAATTCCTCAATATAGCTAAAGTTACTCTGGCTTATGGGTCTTCTTTATTGACCAACCTTACTCTATTGGAAGCTACTCTATTGTTTTCTTCATTTTCATTTGCAGTTCCTTAACCAATCGCTTCAACTCCTCCAAAGCTTGTACCCTTTTCGTAGTCTCATCATCATTTTTCGCTTCAACCAAGTTTAAGAGATCAACTAGCTTCTCTGGTTTATCAATGTTGATTTTTTTTCATTACTTTGAAATCTAACTTTTTGGGTTAGTTGGTCTCTTTCAAAACCGACCTTATTGTGGTAGTGAGGGCGACATATTAGTCGTAAGGCCAACGTCGTTAATCATTCCCTCCTGCACGAGTTGATGCGGAGGCGAGAACTGGCATCGTAGCTTACGGCGTCAAAGATTTTTCTTCGCGACGAGGAACTAGAGAAGACAAAACTTATTATGAAGTGGTTGCAGGTAGTGGAAGGGCGGTGGAGGACTACGAATCCGATGTCGTTATGGTGATACTTAACCATTGTTTTAGTGAAGGAAGAAAATAAAAAAGTGGAAATTTCACATTAGCAAAAGAAAAAAGAAGAAGGAAGCTTTGGATTGGAGAGAGGTGGAATTAGAGAGGCCGAAAAGCTTCTTATTCTTCTTTAGATTCATTTCTCTCTGATCTATAATAAGTAATTGTTATAATATCGGAACTATGATTATCAGTAAACAAATAAACACGATCGAAAAGGAAAACCAAAGAATACCAAGATTTACGTGGAAAACCCAAAAGGAAAAAACTATGGGCAGAGGAGAAGAATTTTACTAATATGAAGAAACAAAATACAAGAGGAATTTGGTGAAAGAAAAGAACTTGATATCTAACTCTGACCCTTAGTATCTATTTATAGGAATAAATACTTGATTACAAAGGAAAAACTAAATAAAGTATAAATCTACTTTAATAAAGTTTTCTACTTTTAATCAAATTGTATTTCTTACTTTCCTAATAATTATATATTAATTAATTTATACCACTTTGAATTTGAGTCAAACTCTAACAAATCTCGACATTGACACGAATTCTAAAAGTACAAAGGTTTCGAGACAAAACACCCAAATTCGATATAACACCCAAACTCAACAAAAATAATTCTTCACTTCAACGAACAAGTTCTCCACCTCTTCCACAACTTCAGTAATGGACATCGACCGAATCCAAGCTTTTTCTAGGCTTGGATTTAGTCTTTGAATCAACATGGTTATCATAAGTGTCAACTTTGCTCACAAATGTTTTACCACGAGTAATATCATGCACAACACGATCTCAATCATCAATGATAATTCTATCTTTAAATTCAATATGTTCACGAAATTGAACTATTTTCTGCTTCACATAACCATTCTGACCATGGTTATTTTGTTCAACAACGTTATTTGACACGGTGGATGAAACACCAATTGCATTATCTAAAACTATTACGTGGTAGTCTTTCTCTTCCCTTTTAACACAACAAGAGAGTCCTTGCAAATTTTCATAGCTCCATCTTCACTAGAGAATTTGTACCCTTTTGAATCTATATTACCTAACAAAATTAGATTTCTACTCAAATCTAGAACATGTATCACATTACCAAGTGTTCGAACAATCCCATCAAACATCTTAATCTTGATTGTGTCAATACCTGCGACTTTATAAGGGACATTATTTCCCAAAAATACATCACCTGTAGAAACAACTTCATACGTGGAAAACCAGTCATGATTAGGACTCATATGAAAACTACTACCAGAGTCAAGTATCCACTCATCACTTATTATAAAGTTGTCATCAGCCGTAACTAGGAGTTCTCCGTCATTGTACTCCTTTACAATATCGACCTCACCAGAATTCTCAGAGTTCTACTTTTCAGCTTCTCTTTTGATTTTATTTTGCAACTTGTAACACTCCGATTTAACATGACATTTCTTTTTACAATAGTGACAAGTTTTACCTTGGTTGGAAGATTTTGATCTACCTCTTCCAATATTATCAGAAGAACGCTCGCCTTTTATCCCACTGTCTGAGCTAGTCGATTCATGCATCACGAGACCATTTGTCTAGGGTTCAAAACCAAATTCTAGATGTTTCATCTTGTCAAACGAGTGCAAGCCATTGTAAACTTCTTCAATAGTGACTGTTGCGTGACTATACAAGATTGTATCTCTAAAAGACGAGTAGGAAGGAGGCAGCGAACATAAGAGGGTCAATCTAAGTCTTCTTGATCATACTTCACTTCTACAGTCGCTAGATCAGAGACAGGTTCCTTGAATGCAGTTAGGTACTCTTCAAGATACGAACCTTCCGCCAACTTGAGCGAATAAATATGCTGCTTTAGGTACAACTTGCTGGTCAATGATCTCTGCTTGCAAAGTTATTCCAATTTCACCCACAAAGATGCCTTTGTTTTTTTTTGTCAACATATCCTGCAAAATTTGATTTGATAAGTATAAACGAATCTGAGAAAGAGCTTTATGATCCTTACGCTTTTCCTCATTCGTCCATTGTATTTCCCTCTTCTCATTAAATCCTTTTATTGCATCGTCGAGATCTAACTGTGCAGGAACATCCCAAATCTTCACTTTCCATAGCGAGAACCTGATGTTTTGATCCAACAACGAAATATCACATTTAATTGTTGTCATAATCTTGAACCTGAAGCTCTGATACCAATTTGTTATAATATCATAACGATGATTATCGACAAACAAATAAATACGATCAAAAAGGAAAAACAAAACTGGCATGATTTACGTGGAAAACCCAAAAGGGAAAAATCACGGGCAGAAGAGAAGAATTTTACTAATATAAAGAAAGAAAATACAAGAGGATTTTGGTGAAAGAAAAAAACTTGATATCTAACACTGACCCTTATTATATATTTATATGAATATATACTTGATTACAAAAGAAAAACTAAATAATGTAGAAATCTACTTTAATAAATTTTTCTACTTTTAATCAAATTGGATTTCCTACTTTCCCAATATTTATATATTAATTAATTTGTGCCACTTTGAATTCGAGTCAAACTCTAACAATAATTTATTCACTTTTTTTAAAGATCAAATATAAAGAGTAAGTGAAGTGAGAGAACGAGTAGATAATTCAAACACTCATTTTTTTAGGGTAAACAACTTCTTCAGGGAATAAAAAGAGAGAGGCGAAAAAGAAGCAATTTCCATAAAAGGTCAAAAATTTTCATTGAATTAGTAATTGGATAACAGGCCATGTAAGCAATTAACAGGTCATGTACACATTTAATGAAACAGTTCAATTTTTTGTCACCTACATTAACGGTTGTTAACATCGAGTGACCAATTTATAACAAACAATAATATTAGTGGCTGATTTGTGTCTTTTGAAACATCAATGGTGAAAATGAAAATTTACTCAAACATTAGTGATCATTTACATAGTTTACTATTATTTCTTTTGTTGGCCTAATAATTCTTTTAATCCAAGTACCTTTCACTTATTTAAAAATTAATCTCTTTACTTTTAATTTAGGAATTTAATCATTTACTTTTTTCATTTATTAACTTAAGTTCAATGAATATTATCGAAAGGGTTAACTACTTCAAATATCACTGACCTTTAAGTGCAAGCTCGGAAATGCTATTGACGTTTTAATTTTGTCAATTTTAACACTAATATTTATGTTT